GCAATCTCGCGCTATTTTCGACGAGCGGGTTTCGCCCGCCTCTGCGGCGGCAATCTTCTCGTCAATTCGTTGGTACCGCGCCCCGGATCAACTTGACCGCTCCTTGTCTGCCGCCTCGGAGCCGCCAACCAAAAAGTATCCCCACCAGTTGCGCCGAATTTCTCTGCATTTTGTCAGACTGCACGTGCCTGAGCTTCCCTGGATGCCCCCAGCTGTCTGCCTCCCGCGCAGCCCCGCTGCTGCTTGGTGAGTGGGCCAGCCAGCCTGCGGCGCGTCTTGTAGCTAATTATGTTTGCCCGTCGGCCCGGACAACTTGTCTCGCCGCTTGCGCGCTCGCTGGTGGCCGCGACCAAAAAAATATTCCCACCGGTGTTGGGTCAACCTGACGCCACTTCACGCACTGGTTCGTGGTGACCCGCGTCATTTTGGCTGCGTCGCGGCTCCGCTGATTCCCGCATTCGTGCGTTCTGCTGCCTCGGGACCTCACGGCTACGGCCACCCTGGGAGTGGCAGCCTGCCAACGCTTCCGCCTTCTGGCGTTAATTCTTTGACCGACGGTCCTTCGGGCCACCCTGTTACTCACGCTCACGCAGTCGTCCGGGGCTTCACCCTTGCATTTTTCAATTTCACCTCGACCGGCGGTCCTTTGGCTGCGGCCACCCTGGTGCTCACGCAGTTGTCCGGGGTTCGGGCCCATGCATTAATTCCTCGGCTTCCGACCCGGGTCGTCGTTTGTCCCAACCTCCTGGTGCTTCCGACGCCATGCATACTTGCACGCTGGCAGTTCGACTCTGTCTCAGTTGCCCTTGCCACCCGCCGGTCCGCCGCTGGGTTGCCGCGTGATGCCTCGGTTCGCCGCGTTAGGCGTGTCCTCTTTCCGCTGCTTTCGCCTAATTCGTCGCTGCGTAGCCCGCTTTGACCTGACTCGCCGCCGGCGCGCTCGCCCGCGGCCGCTGACTAAAAAGGATCCCCACCAGCCTCGGCTTCTGTCCCTGGTCGTCGTTCTTCCCGACTACCTGACGCTTCCGACGCCGTGCATACCTGCACGCTGGCACTACGACTCAGTTTCAGCCTGCCCCCTCCACTCGCCAGTCCGCCGCTGAGGTGCTGCGTGAGGCTCCGCCTGGCCGCTTTAGGTGAGGCTGCGCCCGGTTGCTTTAGGTGAATTTGTCGCTGCGTGCCCCGCTTGACTGGACTCGCCGCTGGCGCGCTCGCCCGCGGCCGCTGGGAAAAATATCCCCACCAGCCCATCCAGAAACAGATCGCCAGGCGAGTTGCCTAGATCAGGGAAGTGTAGAGGCATGCAGTGTAACACCCGCCTTGGGTTTTCTCCGAGATCTCTTGGAGCCATCTTGGGTCTCTCTCGGGATTCTCGCGGAGCCACTTGGGGCACTCCTGGGACACTCTTATATTTTTGTTTGGAGGTCTAGGAGCCCTGTCGGGGCTCTTTTGGGGGGTCTGGGAGGCCTCTCGATGCAATTTTGGGGACTGTTTTGGGCCCCCCCCATCGGAGGCTCAAGCATGGCGTTTCGGAGCCGTCTTGTGGCGCTGTTAGGGGCGCTCTTGGGCGCTTTTGGGATCTTCTTGGGGCCCTCTTGGGCCCCTCTTGGGGCTCTCTTGGGCCGTCTTGGGGCCATGGAAATGCTTCAAGAGCCCATCGGAAGCGAAAAGGCGAGAAGGCAACCCACATTGATTTTCCTTTGATGTTGGAGCCTTTTTGGTCTCTTTGGGGGGTCCCTCGAGGGATAGGAGGGCACTTGAAACCGTCTTGTGGTCGTCTTGAAGCCTCTTGGATGTTTGTCGGAGGCTATCTTGAGCCATTTTGAGGTATCTTGGGCCATCTTGGAGGCCATCCTCTTGGAGCCATCCTGGGCCATCTCGGACGCTCCAACGCCTCCGCCCCCGCCCCCCTTCCCAGGCCCAGGGGAGGGGGTAGGCAGGGGAAGGAGGGGTTTTGGTAAAGACAAGACACAACTCGTCAAATTACCTACGCCCAGAGGGCTGGTGGGATTCTCAGGGCAAACGCTTTTCCAGAACCTGACATTCGCAGTGGATGAGGCAGATGACCGTAGACAGAGCCGAACATGCTCCCTCCCACATCAAGTCCCACTAATGCACATCCCGTCCGAGAGATGTATCACAGCTCGGGGCTTAAATGGGAGCCCATGGACCCGCTCCTCGGTCTTCTCTCCGCCTGCCCCTCCTTTTCCTTAAAGCTGTCCCCGCCACTGGTGCATCGTTTGGTTACCTGCATCGTGCTGGCGGTCGCATCGCTGGTGTCTCAAAGCCGACCCTCAGACCTTTCCTAGAGCACATTCCGACCAGCATCTCCGAGGCGAGTCTGGCCGTGGAGACACGAGCTCCCCCCGGAGGCTCCAGGAGGGTGGAAAACGTCAAAACCCTTCCCCCTTCCCCCCTTCCCCCCTCGCCCCCCCTTCGACTCTGCTCCCTTCCCCTCCTCCCTCCTCTCCCTCCTCTCCCTCCTCTCCCTCCTGTTGCTGCTCCTCGTCTCCCTCCCCCTCCTCCTCCTCCTCCTCCTCCTCCTCCTCCTCCTCCCCCTCCTCCTCCTCTTCCTCCTCCTCCTACTCCTCCTCCTTCTCCTCCTTCCTCCTCCTCCTACTTCCTCCTCCGCCTCCTCTTCTTCCTCCTCCTCCTCATCCTCCTCCTCCCCTCCTCCACCCCTCCTCCTCCCCCTCCTCCTCCCCCTCCTCCTCCTCCTCCTCCTCCTCCTACTTCCTCCTCCTCGTTGTTTTCCTCCCCGGCCGAGCCGAGGCGCGGAGGCCAGGCTCTCCTCTCGGGGCGGCCGCGCGCTCTGCGGCGCCTCTCTGTGCGGATACCTCTCGGGGCAGCTGGGAGATGCATCTCCTGCTGGCTTCCCCTGCGGCCAAGACGCTGAAGCACGGACCTGGCCTTCGGGCCCTGGCTTTCGGGCCTTGCTTCTTTTGGGGGAGCCTCCCCCTCCTCCTCCTCCTCCTCCTCCTCCTCCTCCTCCTCCCCCTCCTCCTCCTCTTCCTCCTCCTCCTACTCCTCACTCCTTACCTCCTTCCTCTCTCTATTCCTCTCAGCTCTTTCTTCTCCTCCTCTCTCCTCCTCCTCCCATCTCCACCCCTCCTCCTCCCCCTCCTCCTCCCCCTCCTCCTCCTCCTCCTCCTCCTCCTACTTCCTCCTCCTCGTTGTTTTCCTCCCCGGCCGAGCCGAGGCGCGGAGGCCAGGCTCTCCTCTCGGGGCGGCCGCGCGCTCTGCGGCGCCTCTCTGTGCGGATACCTCTCGGGGCAGCTGGGAGATGCATCTCCTGCTGGCTTCCCCTGCGGCCAAGACGCTGAAGCACGGACCTGGCCTTCGGGCCCTGGCTTTCGGGCCTTGCTTCTTTTGGGGG